ATTACCAAAGCAGCTTTTTATCTTCTGCAGTTTTGTCCCCCCTCCAATTAAATGTTTGTTCTCAATTGTCATTTCACAGCCCCTGTTTTGTCATCCCTCCCATGTGTGTTTGTTTTAAAACATGCGCAGTTAGAGCCGGATTCAGCTCCCAGAAAAAAAAAATCAAAGTGAGTCTTCCCACAGGCGATCATGTGAGTTGGGTTGGGCCCTTAGATCTCATGTAAGGTACTGGAATAGTATCCAAACATTCACAAAATGGAAGCAGCACAGGCAAAGACCATGCAAGCTCCATCCGTATATCTAATCTCTCTTTCTCTTGGAGACAGTATTTTAAGTTCCCAAATCCTATTTGCTTTTGGCCCTTTCTGCTGAGGCTGCTACAATTCATAAAACAAATGACAAAAAAAGAACCAGTGCTGGCAGTAAGAGAGTTGTGATGTGGACACAAGCCACCAGACAGTCATCAACCAGTAATACCTTCCAGTCGCTACTGGGGTGCAACGTGGTGCGTAACTATATAGAGATAGAAGCAATGAGCTCATTAGCAGACATTGGGAATGATGCCTAATTACTGAACCACGACAGTCAGACAAGCTGATGTCAGTGTGACAAGGCACAGGTAGGTTTTGGACAGATGAAATATCAGAGGGTCGGGGATATGGAAGAGCAGTGAAGATGAGCAGCATTTGAATAAAAAGAAGGCTCTTTGGTCCTCTAGTTGTCCATAATTAGCAACAAAATTGTTCTACCTCAGGACGAAGGAGACAAGGTTTCTCAATGAACAGGGGATGGAGTCAAGAGGAGCCAGTGTGCCTGTCCAAAGTCAGTGCTGGCTCTTAGCGTATAGGTAGCTGTTAACCCAATCAACAGCAGAAATCCTATCATAGCGGATTTCCTGTCTCACAAGCACCTCTATCCTGCTAAAGCATTTCCTGGTCTCTCTCTTCTAAGGTGCCTGGAGGTCTCCACCAAAGTGCAAATCCTAAGAATCACATGGTTACTATTACAATCCCCCTATCCCCACCTGGTCAGGGTGTTCCTGCTGCCTGCTTACATCATTTAAAATCCACAGGAAAGCTGTAACTATTTCTCTTATTCTGCGGGGGGGAGGGGGGGGGGAATAATTCCGACGCCTATCGTGTAGCCATCTCTGTGCGGGTACGGAGGCAACAATGACAGAGAACAGTTCAGAGAGGGAGAGAGGCACTTGGCCAATATCTGACCTCATTTACGCTTATGTAACCCCACCACCAGGGAGAATGGTTCTGGAGACCTAGGGGGGAAGGGAGGAGCAAGCTTAGCACCACTCCATACGGACTCCAGTTTTCAGAGGTGGCCTGCAAGCCACCCAGCCATGATCTATTGGTACTAGAAGCAGCTACTTCTGGCAAATTATCCAGGCCCTATGTAGCACCCAGTGATGCTCATGCACCCTGGCATGTTTCCTGGGGGTGGAAAAATCACTTGGACACTTACATGAGATAAGGCAAATTTAGCCCTTTGCCTTATGCTGGTACTGCCCTCATGTCATCCTGCTCCCCCTGTTGTGTCCTCTGACTCATCCTGTAATCTCCACAGCTGGGAATCCCCTGTTCCCGCTTGGGCTCTTCCATATGTCACTAATCATCCACCCTTCGTCACTGAATTCCCTGAGCTTGTCTGTAACACTTCTATCGGATCAGCTGGCAGCACAGTACTCCCAAAAGCACATTCTCATTTCCTTAGCCTTGGCCCGGCGCTGGCATTTCCCCCATGCCTCAACTCCTCTTTCCAGAGGAAATGTAAAAGTCATTACGGGCCCAGCCATGGGCAGTGTTTTACAAGCACTGAAGAAGAGGCAGGCTCGGCTCCCTGGACCTGACAGTCCCTCTGACTGACAGAAAACTAAGCTACCTTAACAGCCGCTGGCTTTCCAAAACTAAGAACAATGGCCATACTGGGGCAGACTAATGGCCCATTTCGCCCAGTATCTTGTCTTCCAACAGTGGCCAGTGCTAGATACTTCAGAGGGAATGAACACAGTACGGCAATTTAGAATAATACATCCCCTGTCATCCAGTGCCAGCTCCTGGCAGTCAGAGGTTTAAGGACATCCAGAGCATGGGGCTGCATCCCTCACCATTTTCGCTAGGAGCCACTGACGCACCTATCCTCCAGGAACTTATCTATTTTTTTTAATCCGGTTGTACTTTCGGCCTTCACACCATCCCCTGGCACGGAGTTCCACAAGCTGACTACGTGGCATGTAAAGAATTACTGTGTTAGTTTTAAATCTGCTGCCCACTAATTTCATTGGGTAACCTCTGGTTCTTGTGTTTGACTAAGGAAGTGTTATTTACCCCCTTTGTTTTTTTCTCCACACAATGCCTCAGGGTATGTCTACACTGCCACCCTAGTTCGAACTAGGGTGGCTAATGTAGGCATTCAAACTTGCAAATGAAACCCGGGATTTAAATATCCTGGGCTTTCTTTGCATGCTCCCGGGCGCCGCCATTTTTAAATGCTCCGTAGTTCGAACTACCTACCCGCGGCTACATGCGGCACGGACTAGGTAGTTCGAATTAAAGCTCCTAATTCAAACTACCATTACTCCTCCTGCAATGAGGAGGTAGTTCGAACTACAGTGCATTTAAAAATAGCAGCACCTGGGAACATGCAAATAAAGCCCGGGATATTTAAATCCCAGGCTTCATTTGCAAGTCCGAATGCCTACATTAGCCACCCTAGTTCGAACTACGGTGGCACTGTAGACATACCCTCATTGTATAGACCTCTACCATATCTTACTTCAGCCGGCTCTTTTCTAAGATGAACATGTCCCAGTCTTTTTAATGTCTCCTCACATGAAAGCGAAGGGTTTCTCAGCATGGGCAGACAAATCACATGCTAGCTTGTCTCAAGGTAGCCTGCTAAAACTGGCAGTACGACGAAGGCCAGACAGAGTAGCCTCCTGCCTACTAACCTGTCTGACCCCCACTTGCCTACTCTGGAGGCTAGATCAAGCTGCTACTCATGTGGCATTGCTATTTTTAAAACACTGGGTTGAGCAGAGGTAGCACGTGTATGTCTGCCTACGCTGGGAATTACACCTGCCTGCTGCTGTTTAGGTACCTGACGAGACTCCACAGGGGTAGCCTTAGTATGATTAATACACAGGCATGGGATTTAATTCTTGGCTCTGCCACAGACTTCTCGGGTGCCCTTAAGCAAGTCACTTAGGAGCAGATTTTCAAAAGATCTCAGGGTCAGATTTTCAAGAGACTTCAACTCCCTTTCGGCGACCTAAGCAAGAGCAAGGTTTGCAAACACATTCAGCACTACACAGCTCTCATCCTGACTCCTGTGCCCAGGGCTGCAGCAGGGTTGATGTGGAAACACCTTCCCACCTGCAGGTGGGGCGATGTTTTTAAAAATTCTGACCTCAGTCCCTCTGTGCCTTCCCTACTCCCAAAGCTTTGGCCATCACATGCCACTTGTATCGTGTGCATGTCTGCAAACAGCTCTGCAAGGCGTGTATTATTTCTAAACTTTCTCTGAGCAGGGATGCCAGACACTCTCCCCTCCTCCACACTGCTGTAGGGCTCCCTCGGGAGGGCCAGATAAGCAGCTTAGTTTCAGTCAGGCCAGCAGATCCTTGCTCTGGGAAGGAAAAGTGGTCTTTTGTCTTCCCCTCTGCTGAGCGCTCTACAGAGCAGCACCATCAGCCCCTTACTTCTCCCCAGAGATTTTTTGGGCAAAGAGCCAGAAATCTGGTTTCTGGCATGAAGGGAGTTTAGGGGATGAGGCAGGAACAGGTTAGAGGTCAAAAAGGGCTGTACCGTCCTCATTGGTAAAGCTGCTCTTATCAGCAAGAGGCTTTGGGATGTTTAACATTAGCAGGGAAAGCGGTAGAGAGTTTGTGGGTTATGTATTCATGCTGTATGGGGAAGCTTTTGGCTGGGGGAGAAGGAGGGCGAGGGGAGGCCTCTAGCATCTTCTGACTGCCCAGTTCTTTCTTTTCCCTCCCTCTGCACCCAGAATCACGCTGTGTTTTAGTCAGCACTCTCCCACCAGCTAAGGAGAGCTGGATACGTTTCCTGTCAGCAGGGCCAGCCCACCCCCCCAGTCACCCCCACACCTGTTACAGGTTCCACCCCTCCCAAAGCCCTGCCCCATTCCAAACTGCCCTGTCCCCTTACCTCCTCTCCGAGCAACACGGCTTGAGGATTACAGGGCCTAGTGTAGTGGCAAGCAAGGGTGGCATCTCCCCCTCCCCCACTCACCACAAGTGTGGTGGGAGCTGGAGAGGCCCTACAGCCTGCTTTGCCCCTCCACACTGCCTCCCGGCCCACTGCACCTCACTTCTCTGCAGGCAGCGGGAACCAGAGTGCCCTGAAGTGGGGTGCTCTGCTTCCCATCGTCGCTGAGAAGCTGCATGCAGTGCGCCCTGGGAGGGCAGTGAGGGGGAATGGAGCAGGCTGCCTGGCCACTCCAGCTCCTGCCGCCCACATGATGAGTTTTGGGGAGGAGGAAGGCACACCAGGCTCCCCTAATCCCCCGGCCCCTCCTGTCCATGGGATTATTCCTAGCATAGTCTGTAATTGCTCACTGCACAAATCCCCTTGCTGTGCCCTTCAGTGTGGGCTCGCTGAAATCTGTTTAGAGAACTATCCTGCTCCAGCAGCACACACAAAGATCAGCATGACCTCTCCTTATCACTCAGCCTTTCCTGTGTGGAATTTGTTGTGTTCTGTGCCCTACTGATTATTGCATCACTTCTGTTTATTTGTAACCTTTGGCACACCATAATCTTATCTCTGTGGCTGCTGGCTGCAATGCAAGAGATGTGCAGCAGGGTAGCTAGCCTTAGCCATCCTCAGACACTGGAATGGGCCATTTAAAGTGGAGGTCAGTAAATGATTAGCAAAGACGGCTTGCAATCACTGCCAGGTGAAACGAAATCAAACTTTTCTGCTACCCTAGAAGACAACAAGGTTTACATTTCTTCCTGGGGCACTCACCAATCACAATCAGGGTGTAGTTTACATTCATGCTTCCAAAGCCGTTCGTGGCCTTGCAGATGTACGTTCCCGCATCTTCGCTTTCTACCTCCTTGATCTTCAGTCCTTGCTGCAAGATCCGGAACCTTGTCCAACCGCTATGGATAGTCCGTCCATCTTTCATCCACATCGTCAGAGGCGGGGGGTCACCTTCTACCGGACACAAGAGCTTGATGGTTCTTCCTAACCTCACAGACTGCCGGTGGATCACTTTATCAGCAATTCTGGGTGGGCCTACCAAAGAATGGAAAGAGAAACAATAACTATTATTATCACAGTAGTAGCTATAAGTCACCAGTCATGAGTAAGGGCCCCATGCAAACATAACAAAAGTTACTTATTGAAATGAGATTACAATCAAAGTCAAATAAAAAATAATAGACAACAGACAGATACAACAAAAATAAATACCAGCACATGGAGGGTTTGAATCCAGAACTCAGATAAAATCAACACCTTGCTTTAACCAACCATATTAAGCAGCCAACCGCAATCTGTGGTATTTCTCTCTTCTTTCCCGCCCCACAACCCTACAGGTCCTCTCCCATTTCTTTTCTATGTCATGGGGAAGTGGTGCCCAGATACCTAGGCTACCGGTTGTTTTAAGCAGAACAAATCCTGAAGCCAAAATTAGTAACGGCATGGGTACTTACAACAAGGAGTTATAATCCTTTTATGTTTATATGTACAGCAATTCCATTTAATAGTCACCAGATGGGCTTTATCAGCAGCAAGGATCATAAGAATACACTAGTACAGTGGTCTCCAACCTTTTTAAGCACATGATCACTTTTTGAATTTAAGTTAGTCCAGGATCTACCTCAAACCCAAATACCCCTGTTCCACCCCTTTGCTGAGGACCCGCACTCCTCAGTCTATGAATATGGGGTACAGTGGAGGGGGACAGAGTGACATCAATACCCCCTGCCTCTGTATCCCCCACCCTGCATAACAAGCAGGAAGCTCCCAGGGCAACTCTGAGGCTCTGGGCAGGAGCAGCTGGGCAGTGGTAGGAGGGGCAGCTGAAGTGCCAGCGCTTGATAGTCTCCCAGCCAAACTAGTCAGGATCACCTGTCAGAGGCTCTAAGATCTACCGGTAGATCCCGATCTACTGGTTGGTGACCACTGCACTAGTATGATTCTAGGACACAACGAATTTGCTGGGTAGCATTTACTTAATGCCAAGGCACAGGCTATCCTGACACAAGAACATCACATACATGCAAAAGGGTGATTTTTTTCAGGCTATTTGTGTCCATTGCCGTGACCTTCCCTTGACAAGTTCATTGGACTGGCCTAGCTCTGAATGTCGGCTGCTGGGACATGCTGATTGTTTCATGCATAACAAGAATGTGGCAACATGAACACACTGTGCTGCGGGATAATGATAACTCCAAGGGCAGGCCAACCAGCCAGGGTGGGATCAGGGAATAAGGCCGCTCACACTGTGAGCTTCCCCCTCCCATTAGAGAACCAAATTCAAAAGCAAAATGTTCAGGTAGGTTTATTTAAGTAAGCAATTTTCTTTGATTAATTAATTCATATATGCACTCCTCCCATCCATACGAATGTACCAGCCAGCCTCTCTCTCAGAACATTTCCAAAACAGCCTTGATCAGTAAGTGTCCTGTTTCAGCATCAGGACCCACCTGTTTTAAAAGGGTCTGAAAACTTGTGGCACTGAGTGACCTTAATCCCCACTCTGCGGCCGTGGGTTTGAGGCTGTTCACCACAGTGGCCAATCCCTTGCAGGGCCAATATGGGGTCAGTGCAGCCTGCCTGACTCATGCTGCTTTAAGAGGATACCAGGCACCTTGTTGTTTTTGCTGAAACAGACTCACAGGGCTACCTCTCCAAAACCCTTTTCATAAGAACAATTCCTGTGATTGCAAAGCGAGTCTCTGTCAGAGGGCTCACCCATGTGAGTAAGGGAGGTGCCTAAGCCAGCCCATATCGACTATAGGCCAGATTCTCACTTACTCATGCTGGTGGGTTCCAGTAACTTCACTGGGACTGCTAGTGAATTAGGCTGCTATTGAAAGTGAGCAATGTTGCTAGCCCTAAAATAATCAGTTTTAATCAAAAGCCTGACGAAGCCAATGAAAAGCTTCACATCAGGCCCCCGAGTTCAATAGATTTGGGCCATGGCAAACTGTCAGAGTGAACAAGTCCCAAAGATCCTCACCGGTGCGGACCTGTCTTGGAAAGCCCAACTCCAGGTGATGGCAGTTAGAACACACCTCAGCTAAGCATGCCAATCGGAGAGGTGACCCCTCAAGTAACATTGCCCCCCCAAATTCCAGAAGAGGTGTCAAAATATCATAAGAACAGCTGCCATGGTTGTGTTTCCTGCCAGGACTTTAAGACCTGGAAGTCTTGCAAGCAAAGCCCTTCTTGACAGAAGCGCAGACGTCCAGCCAGTATTTATGAACTACAAAGGTTTGGGCACTTTGAAGAGTTATCAGAATTTCTGGAGTCTGAGCTGGGTCTAATTTCATTCTCATTGTCAATGATCAGTTCTGGGCGTAGGCTTTAATGGAGCGACACCCGCTGTGGACCTATCCCCAAGTTCCACCACCCTTTCCTCACAGGGCATAGTATTTATTTCATGACTAAGAGTGGCCAAGTCTACACAAATGTACAGGTTTGCTGATGTCTTGCATAGAATCTTGGAGAGTTTGCCCCCTTACTCAGACTCAGCCAGACCTCAACTCTCATGAGTGACTGCACTGAAATCAACTAAAGAGCAGGATTCTACTCACAGTGAACACGGGTGTCAAAAACTGGCCTATTAGTAGTGTTTTGGAAGCATGTGTGGTGTAGGGCAGCTGGGGACAGTGGAGGGGGAAAATCAGGCTCTCCCAGCAGTGTCTTCTTCAAAAACCTTTTCCTTCCAACATTCAACTTGACTCCTGACAAATTTTCCAGCTGGGAGGAGTAAGATAGTTTCCCAGTGGCGTCATGCAGCTTGTTGCACAGGCAGCGCTCCCTATGGCAACTGAGTTGCTTCTGGTTCTGTCACACCACTGGGTACATAAACATGGTCCTCCCGAATGCCATTTTCCTCTGACTGACCTTTCATTCTGAGGAATTTTTGGATCGCTCCCCTGTCACAAGATCTATATGCAGACCTTTTTGTGGTTAAAAAAAAGGAGGGGGAGCCTTTCCCAGATTGCTTCTTGCTTTAAAAAAATGGCTGTGCTGTCCTTTAAACCTGAGACACTTTTAGATTCACCCCTCAAGAGCTTTCCCCCCAATCTCTCATATTAAGAGAAGGAATAAAAATCCCCAATTTCTTTGCAACTGTGCATTTCTCTGGGTGTAGCTGCATGCTTGTCTCAGAAGGATACAATTCCAGAGCAGGGAGGCATCCAAAGCATGCTAAAAGCACATCCCGATGTGTTTCGCATGGTGAAGTCCCATTTTATTACCTATCCTTATTAGGGATGTTAAATATCAGTTAATTGAAAAGTCGATTAACCTCATGAATTCTTATTGGTTAGTCGACCATTCTATGGTCCTCGGGGGTGCGGCCAGCAACCAGTTTGCTCCAGCCTCACTCCCGAGGAGCCTCCTGCCACTCCGCGCTGCTGCCTCTGTATTAGAGGCAGCAGCGTGGGGTGCCAGGCAGGAGCTGGTCCAGGAGGGGAGCCAGTTTAAAAAACAGCTCCCCTAGCGGACTGGCTGCCTGTCTCCCTGTGCACCTTCCTCTAATAAAGGGGCAGCAGCACAGGGTATCAGCGGCCCCTCTCTTGGGGGACCCGGTGCGAGCCAGAATTGAGCAAGGCTTCCTGCCCATCTGGCTCCTAATATTATTTGTACCTTAAATGCAAAGCCGCAGCAGGGGTAGGTCCTGGATTCATCACAAACCAGGACTGAGCCGAACTGCTGGCCAGCATGCTAAAAAAATTATTTTGGAGGGGCGGGGGGGAAGGGAATTCATGTACTCTATAACATTAACCTATACGCTTTTGTTTATCAGTTAATTGACTACACTATTACATCCCTAATCCTTATTATTAATAATAACTCTTTGTATAAGCAGCATTCTTCCTCTGAAATCATCATAAGCCACAAGCTTCAGAGGTCCTCACACATTGATGGCTGGCGCTGTGCTGAGAATAGCTTCCTAGAGATGTTTATGGCAAAATCACATGGGATGTTCTGTCATGGGTCTCTGTTTCTCTTTTTAAGGTGCAGGAATCCAATGGGTCTTATTTCACTACATATTTGCCTTCGGACTGTAACAGTGACAGATCAATGCTTTTGACCCACCTTGCAGCAATGTTTGTGTTTTGGTATTTTGTGGGAAGAAATAGAAAAGGGGGATATTTTGCACAGGGACCACCCAGCCTCTCTCAGATGCACTGAGCGCCAGTTGCACAGATTCCATTGAATCAGGCGGTTGGACCCATTTTACTGTTGAGATCTCAAGTCTTCCCAATACACATGAAATCTCTTCTCTGAAAAGGTATATTTAAAAAGCCCATAGCTGTCCATGTGCTGCTTGAAAGAAGCCAAGTCCTGCTTCTTTTCCGACAGTGCAAGTACAATACAGCTCCATCTTCTGTTAAATGAGAACTGATGAAGAATAGATTTTCCAGTTTGTGGCCAATTTTGCAATGTTGCAGGAGGGAGGAAGGATGATTTTGGGTCAAACCCAAAACAAAACTTCGACATTTTTAGCAAATGGAAAATAAAACAAACACACAAAAATGAAAGTTTGAGAGAGCTAAACTGAAGCATTTTAGTTTGATTTTAGTATTTTAAAACATTTGAACTAAAAGTTGGTTAGAATTGTAAAATGTCAAAATGAATGGTTTCATTTCTTTCAGAAATCTGGTTCCCTTCCCTCCTCCCCTGAACAAATGATTAGACAAAAATGACAAATTCACAAAAACACTTTTTTTTCCTGTGATATAGAATCTTTTTCATCAGAAAATTTTGGTTGAAAAGTTTTGCCCAGTCTATCTGCATCCCCCCTCTAAACCTTGCATTGCTGAGTTCATTGGCCTGGTCACTAATGGGAGGTATCACTATTATTGCCTTATTTCCCACCACACAAACAATTCAGCAACTGGCCTAGTTACGGATTTGACAGGGTCATCAAGAAGAGACAGTACTACAGATAATTATCTTAACTTCCTTAACTGCAGACAGGGAGTCTGATCCTGCAAAGTGCTGCTAGGTGCTTCCAAGGGGTGCTGAATTCCTGAATCCCCATTAACGTCAAT